ACTGAGAAAGTTTTGCAGGAATTGTTCTGAGTAACAACGTTCCTTGGGCAGCAGTAGAGTAAAGGCAGACAGTACATGTAGTCTGGTTATTATGGAAGCTTCACCCTGCCACTAATTCCTCCACATGAAATAACCCATGTGTACAAAGATATGACAGAAAGTACAGATACTCCCACACTGCCTCCATAGCCCTTTACAGGGAAACTGATAACTGATAAATCACAAGGCAACACGCTAGTGGAATCTGAACTCAACTGCCAAATCATATGAGGAATTCCTGTGGTAGACTGGATATTTTTAGCTCAGAAATCATTTAGAATGAGACATGTTCCTAATAAATGTAGCTAGACACAATCTTTTATGTTAATTTATGGGCTTTATTTTTCTGTTTTGATCTGTTCTGTTTTGATCGTAGTCTTTACACTATCTCCATAATTGTTACTAACTGCCATAGTATTTTGGGGAATTTAATATAATCTGCTCAGATACATTGAATCCACTGAAATACGTTTAATTTTCCCCCTTTATATACTATAACATGTCAGGTTGTACATTCATAGGATGTTGAAAAATAACATGGAGATGTTGTAAAATAAACTAAGGGGGAGGCAATATTTTATGATAGTGATTCATGCCAATAGATACAGATTTAGTAAATCCTCCTGTCTCTTAAAGTCCTGGTTTGTGGTGTATAAATACCCCCAAACAGTCTTCAGTCATGCTATTCAGAGCCATGCTTAGTGTGATCTTGGAATAAAAGGTGTTTTATTTGGGAGGAGGGTGTGGGGTGCCTGCGTGCTTGTGCATGTGTGTAAATAAAACCAATCAGCCGCATTTTTATGCAACTTTTAGAAATGTCACATATTGATTACAGATTGAAGTAACATTCTACCTGCTTTTTTTGCAGCCTTCGTTTTGCTTTCTCATGTATAATTCATACTTTCTTATACACATATACGGTAATCAGTATTGCCAAAGTTAACATTACATAATATGTTATTCAGTCCATGTACTGACTCCACAGCGGAGCAGAGGAGAAGGAAGTGGGCAGAAAACTGTCTCAGACACTGAATAGCAGTCCATCTAGTGTTGCGGGTACATGCTCAAGAGGGAGTATATTTTCATGGAAAATTACAGAATACAGTAAAAGAAAATATTTTTCCCCCTGAGTAACTTAATTCTTTGAACCTCTGGATATGAAAATAAGAAAGTTGGATGTAAAGGTCCCTTACTAAATGATGCAGCATCAAAGGGTTTTGACACCTCTTTCTCCTGACCTCTCTCCAGTGCATCCTCCTATTTGGAGCCAGGATGGTGGGGATAAAAATCCCCAGCAGTCACCCCACCTTTCTAGCAGAGCAGTTCTCACTTCTTCCCACTAGCATCTGGGATGATGTTTGCACACTGTCAGGATCCCTAAGAATATCAGGAGTTCTGAGCTACTAGGAGCACAGTAAAGAGGTGGCAAAGGGATGGGGGTAGAAAATAGGCTGGTAATTTAACTATGCAATGGTTCATGTAATGCCCAGATTCTTGTGGCAGCTTTTGTGCAGCCTTTGTGTAATGTGAGTAATGATAATGATACTTTGTAAAACATTTTTCAATATTTGATGTGTACTCCCTGATACAAAGTTATAGCCTTGTTGCCAGCTCTTGTGATTTTATTGTAAATCTCATAATATTTAGTGCTTTGCTTAAAGATTCAGTTCCTGAAGTCAAGAGATTAACTGATAATCTCATTTTTCATTTAAAAAATGTCAGCATCTAGCATTCCAGGTTGTGGAAGAAAGCATGAATGTTACTGAAATATACCCTGAGGGCTCAGAAACCAGGAGAAGAGGAACACTAAATGCATTGCCTTTTTTAAAAAGTCAAACATTTTAAGACAATGTCTTGACTTTAAAGTCTGATTAATGTTTTTGAACAGCTGGGATTAGTATTACTGTGGTTTATTCTTTTCTCTAAACATAGTGATTCCTATAGCTCTAGCTCTTGTCTCCGTTTCATTCTCTGTTGACAGGACCATCATCAAGGATGTTGGCTGTTACAGCACACTGGCCATCCCACACAAAATGTCCCCAGTGGGGTGTGATCTGTGATCTACCACTTACTCTTACCAAGCCTGTCTAGCAGACCTAGATCATGAAGTCTGTTAGTATGTCTAACTTTTGGCAGATGGCTAGTTCATATGCTGCTCTTGGCTGGGACTGTGCGCTCTCAGGCAAGCAGGTCTCTTGTTTGGTGACTTGGTTTTGCCCTGGAATTCTCCAACCCACAACTGATTCTCAGGGCACCAATGTGCTCTGGGCTGTCTCTCTGCTCCTCAGTTATATATTGGTCAGAGCAGAGCTTGACATAAAGGGTTCAAACCTTCTTTGTGCTATACTGGGGCAACAAGCAGATGTTACGTCTACCCAAACTGTGCCATCTAAAAGAGCTACAATGACTTTAACTGATTAAAAATAGCAACAAGAAGAAATAAAGTCATTACAAGATTAACTGCAATGGTGCAGTAAGGGAGATGGTCTTTTTTGTAGGCTACATCATTCTTGGGTTCAGTCCCCAACTATATGCAGCTGCAGCTGCCTTCCAACTGTCAGTCTTTTGTACTCAGCCACCCAGACTGTTCCAGGCTGTAAAGGTGCCATAACCACACTGTCACCACAGCGAGGAAAAGGAGGCAGGGAACCTCTTCCCACACATGCAGCAAATTAGGATCTCCATGCAGTTCCCAAGGAAGTGCTCTGAGAGAGAGATGGCTTATGGGTTGGTCAACATGCCACATTCTCAAGGGAGTTTGGTTTGTGGTTTAAGGGTGGTGTCCAGCCAACCAGTCAGCACCTCTTTTGCAGCCAGCAGCAAGCATTAGCCTTGTTTGCATTTTCATTTGCTCACAGACCAAAATCCCTGCAACAGAGGTTACACCCAGCTATATCTCTTCTCTGCATCATTCTGCTCTCCAGAAAAGGATTTGGCACTAATCCTACAGGAAGGAAGAGAAACTCCCTGTGAGTTAGCACAGTTGATTCCTCAATCATTTTGCAGGGCATTTAATGCCTAATACTCATGGATCCTTCTGCCAGATATGGCTTTTTAATTTCTTTATTTTGAATTTGCATTATTTACTGCAGTGTTGGTACAGGGTTTTGTTTCATCAGTCCCAGAAAGTGAACTCTTTTATGTGTCTATAGCAAAGGTGCTCAAAGTTTTTATACAAATTAAAATTAGAAATGGGCTGAGAGCTGCACAGAAAAGCATTATAAACACACATTATTAGTTATTTTAGGCTTAGCAATACAAAGTAAAAAAGTTCAGTATCCTGTTAAATTATTATAAATTTAATAAACATAATTAAACTTTAAAATGAAATAGTGCCCTGTGCAGTAAGTAAAGGTGGATGGGCCACTGGCTTTCGTTAGCCTACAAGGATCTGGCTGGTTTCCAGGTTCTTAGTGTTGGTGTGGGAGAGACCAGATGGAGACTGCCCAGCTGGCAACACTGTACCTTACCTCAGCTCCCTGGGCTTCCCAGTGCCCTCCCTGGGCTTCCCAGTGCCTCCTGAAGGGAAAGCTGGGAACATGGTGGGAGTGAAACCATGCTCTGCACCAGAAGAGTGGGCCTTTCTTTGAAATTACTTTCTGCTGTTTTCAGGTGCTGTTGCCAGCTCTGTGCAGCACCCTGTACATGCATTGGGTGGGTCTTCATTGCCTTTTCCCTTCCAGTTGCCAAAGTTTTCATGGAGATCCAGAGCCCAGGAGCTGAGCATCCCTACTGTTCACCTCTCCTTTTCCCTTCCTCTCCAATTAATTCAATGGTAAGGGAAAACAGGATCCAAGCAGCAGAGGCTGTGCTTATCTCCCATGCTCTAGAGCTGTGTGAAAGCTCTGAACCTACCAGCAGGCTCTGGCTAGAGTCACAGCTTTTGTGCAGCTGTGGAGCTCAGGAGCTGAACACTACCACCAGCCAGAGCCCAAGTTGACATGCTAGTAAACTCAGAGCTTCCCTGCAGCTCCACAGCTGAGTGCTGCCACCACTACTGCTGCTCATCCTCTCTTTTTTCCCTGCTGCTGAATTTGGTGGTGGGCTATGGGAGGGGAAGGTGAATGGCAATTGTGCTCAGTTCATGGGCTTCAGAGCTGCAGGAAAGCTCTGAGTTTACTGGCATATATGTCAATGCAAATGAACACTGCTGCTGCTGCTCATACCCTCCTTTTCTCTGTCACTGAATTCAGTGGCAGAGGAAAGAAGGGGAGGAGCAGCAGTAGCATTCACTTGCACTGACATGTTAGTGATCAGCTGTTCACACCAGCTTCATGGGCTGCACCTGAGGATGAGCACCACTGATCTGCAGAATAACAATAGGACAGACTATGGCAGTGCTTGTGTTCCCATCCTACTCCTTCTCATGTTCATGGCTGAATAATAACTTGGAAAGATCACTCTGAGGGCAAATATGTAGGGTGTTCTGCAGGCCTATACAGTTTTTGTCCATTCTGCTAAGACCAAAAAAACACTAATTCTGGTGACAGCTTTTCTAATGTTGAGATTTTTCAGCATAGTAACAGGGTAGAGACCACTCATATATTTCACAACTGAGAAAACATCAGCTCTTATGATGTAGCTCTTGTGAAGCTAAAAGGATCAGTATTCCACTATGCTTCCTGTAAGCCATTCGGTCAGCTTAGGTCATACGGAAATTCCAGGTTAGGAAAAGATCAGGATTTCAATACTAGAAGGCTCAAGAGCCAGATCATCACTTTGGGATGTTCTTTGGGACAAAGACTCTCTTTCTGTTACTGTGTACTGTGCTTCCAGGTTATTATTTTACTGTGATGCTTGTAATTATATTACAACAAATGATCCTTAGTATGCAAATAAACGGTCCATACATACCTTTCATATGATGCCTGAAACCTAACTTATTCTCATAAATGTTTTGATAATATCTGTACTACCTCTCTGATACAATGTCATGCTTATTTCTGCTGTTTGGTTTTTAGGAAGCATTATCAGTAGTGAGTGAAGATCAGTCCTTGTTTGAGTGTGCCTACGGAACGCCACACCTTACTAAGACAGAGATGACTGCCTCCTCTTCCAGTGAATATGGGCAGACGTCAAAGATGAGTCCGCGTGTCCCCCAGCAAGACTGGTTATCACAACCCCCCACCAGAGTCACCATCAAGATGGAATGTAACCCAAACCAAGTAAATGGGTCAAGGTAATGAAGCCAGAATTTAAAATTATTACTAATAAAGCTTTATGCCATCTGTGTCCACCTGTGGTCCTCGCTACCATAGCATCTGAATAGCTGTATAGAACAGCAAAATTGGTCCATGTCAAAATGGAATGTAAGGGAAAAGATAGTGAGACATTTTAATTCTTGGCTGGTTTCTTTCTGTTTTGTATTGGGTTATTTTTTCCATAGTATTGTGCAGGCAGATTTACCAGACCCATGTAGTACAGTATATTTGCTAACTCCTTTTATCAGAAGTCAGCAGGCTGTATTGTGAAAATAGTGTATTTATTCACTCATTGTATGTACCTTCCTCCCCTCTCCAAATGAGTTATGAGTTTTGAACAAGGAAGCTGATGTCTACACTAGAATGGAGGCATAATGTTGCCATAATGGCTTCCAAGACCTTGCTGCTTTTCCTTTCTTTCCCAGGGGCAGGCAGGGGAAGCAGTCACTATTCAGGTCACTCACTGTATCCTTGCAAACCAAAAGCTATAACAGGGTTAAAACCTGAGTGTCAGAGCTAGTAGGAGGGAGAATGGTACAGGTGGCTGGGAGCATTCAGCCATTTTGAATCCATGTTATGGAAAGGTTGACACTGGAAATACCATTTTTTCTTCATTCTGTCGTACCAAAACAGGGTACATGTCTTATCCTGGGGGAAGGTATGTGGTATGTGAGAAGATAGGTATACTTTCAAGGCCTTTTTTGTCTGATAAAAGGCTAAATTGGAGAAACTAAATTGGGTCATGCACTTCTCTAAGTTTCTCATCATGAGGTTTGGGTTTTTTGAGAATGAAAAATATGTACAAAACAATTTTTATGAAAAAATTTGCTTTTGGGAACTTTAAAAATAAAGTTGCATATTCTTGTTATCCTTATCTAATCAAAGTCATGGTAGTTATATTAAAGGTTTTAATTGGGTGATTGGATTTTGGAAGGCTTCTTAATTTCCTTTCTTTTTATTGTCAGCTGCATTAGAAAACAGGTTCATTTTGTTGCTAACTTTTTCTAGTGAATAGGTTGCCTGAGCTGCACTAATATTTAACTTGTCCATTTTACCTTTGTGGATAAACGCTTGCTGCTACCAGAGAGAGATAAAAGTATATATTCTTTATCAAGAATCTATACTTTCCTTCTACTTCCTTAGTAGTAATGTAGTGTCATTAAGGTGAGTGTGATCAGATGAGTGTGAAGCAGATACACTGAAAATGTTCATGGATATGTATAAAATTATTCGTTTCCTTACTAGTTACTAGATTCAGAATATGGTTATCTTAACAGAAATACTGTACCACTCATAAATGTTACTGTCTATAAATGTTACTGTTACTATAAATGGGGTACTGTATGTTTCTTTCTCTAATCAA